GCTGCTGCTGTGGGGACCGGGCCTCGCCCACGGCTGAGTGTCCCCCCGAAGCTGGCCTCCACCCCGCCTCTCTGGCACCCGCAGGCCTCTTGGAGGAGCACAAGACGGCCCTGCCCTTCCCCCCTGCCCCCGGCAGTGCCCACAGCTCAAGCCAGGCCCCAAAAGGGGTGGGCCTGCTCCCCGCAGGGTCCCCGAGTGCGAGGGTGTCCTAGGCACGGGCTCCTTGTCACCCATCAGCCGGGGGCCCTGGACCTGCCCGCGCCACCAGGCACCTGCGGGAGGCAGCGGTGCAAATTGGACACAGCTGTGTCCCGAAGTGCACCGCAGCTCCGACGCTGCCGCCTGCCTCCCCTGAGTCTGCAGCAGGCAGCCCGACCCCGGTGCGTCCCTGCACCCAGTCACTGCTTGCCTGGGGCTGACTGAATGGACAGGTTGAGCCCAGAAACTAGCAGCCCCCGGGGGTGAGTCGGGAGGCCTCGGCAGTGGGCAGAGTGGGGTCCCGGAGGTGCCCACTTTCTCTTCATAGTGATCTTGGGCCGACGCTGAAGGCTGTCAGCTTGGGGCTCCCTCCCGGCCCCTGGACACAGACCTGGCTCCTTGCGACAGCTCTGGCTGTTGGGCACCGCTGACAGCTACGCGAGGCACAGGGCCCCAGCCTGCAGCTCTGGGAAAGGGCAGGGAGTCTGTCCACGTCCCAGGACTGTGTCCCCAACCTCCTGTTTGCTGGGGAGGGTAGGACAGGATCAGGTTATATAAGTAAGGTCTCTTTATCTCTCTGTTCTTTGTGTATTAAACAAACTTGCTGCCAGGCTGTGCGATGAGGTCTTTATTAAGCCTGGAATCTTCCCATCCACGGGAACCAGGGCACAGGTTAAGGACTTGGAGTTGGCGCCCAGGGAGGCTGCTTCCAAGTCCTCGGTGTCCAGAACAAAGAACTGAACAGGGCACTCGAGTCCCAAGAGTGAAAGAAGCAGGCAGACATGGCAGCACACATCTGTAATCCCAGCTTTAGGAGGCTGAGGCGGGAGGATCTTGGAGAATTCAGGGCAGTCGGGGCTACATAGTAGGGTGTTATCTCAAAATAAATTAAAAAGCAAAGGCCCATTCCCCAGGGCTCAGTGGCCAATGCAGGGCTTACAGCCCAGTTGGGACGGGTCCTGGCTCTCAAGGTCCTGGGTGATAGATCTATAGTGGGCGGTTGTAGAGTCCTCACCTGGGGCACCTGCCTCAGCTGCAGTGGGGAGAATCAGAGCGCACTGGGAAGGGGTCACAGGCCAGGGCCATGCACTTTCGGCTCTGCACATGTGGGGGCTTTTGCGGAGACAGGGCAACCTTTACAGGGTTTTCTCAATCCTGACCCACAGCTTCCTGTCTACTTGTCCTGCCTCTACCTCAAGAAGTGAGTGACCCCCGAAGCCCTGCCAAGGGTGGGGAGTGAGTTAGGAGGGCAACAGGCTGGGCAGGTGTATTACAGCTGGCCACCAGCTGGGTGACAAACACTGCACCCTGCCACGCAGCACTGGGACAGCCTGGCACATGGGCGGGCAGCCTGCAGGAGAGCTGCTGCTCGTCATGGGAGGGCTGTCATTTCCAGGGGGCAAATTCTCCACCCGTGCAGCTGCTTGGGGAAAACTTCCTAGGGTACACACCGAGGACCTGGGGACTGGCAGGAGACTGGACAGCCAGGTCCGCAGCCTGATGAGGTGGGCCTGGGCTAGCAGGGGACCTCAAGCTTCTTTCTGGAATCGTACAGGAGGGAGCTGCGAAGGAAGGAAGCTGAGATCTGAGATGTGGGGGGTGTCAGTGTGCTCAGGGAGGCCTTGCAAAGGTGACATTTAAGCTGGGAGAGGGAAGATGAAGTGGAGGCAGAACATGCCAGGCAATGTATACAGTGTGTGCAAAGGCCCTGAGGCATGAGGACTTTGGGTCGTAGTACTGAAAGATCCACTGCAGAGAAGCGAGCCAGGGACTGGTGGTGGTAGTGGAGATAAGATCAGGGCATAATGGGGCCAGAGTGAAGAATCCATATTTGGTCTTGAATGCACATTAGCCCCACCCCTTAGAAACCAATCTCCCATCAATCTACCCAATCCTGACGTGCCTATAACTAGGAGGCAGTTAAAGAGGTGCAGCCATAGGGTGTGCTCCTCCCAAAGGGCTCCTCTTCCACCCTAAAGAAGTGGAGGACTAACATTCCTTCTGACAGCAGTGCCGGGGTGGCTAGAATCCTGATCACTAATATTTGTCACCCTGGACTCCTTCCAGGAATGAACTGTTCACGCTAGGGAAATTCTTCCTTGGAATTTCCTTGGTAATTTTACTTTTTAAGAAGCTCCTTCTAGTGTGGTCCTTGAGCTACCGGGCACTGGCGTGTGAATTGGTCAGGAGCCCCTTTGGGGTGTGGAGCCCCAGGCCAGCTCTCTGCATCGTCCGTCTGTCTGTCCACCCCTGCAGGCTGCCTGGCCCTGGCTCTCTCATTTGTAAGGTAGGAAAGGCTCTCCAGGGGCGCAGGCAGCAGGAGCACAGAAACCCAGCCCCGGCCCTGGCTGTGGCCCCAGCTGCCTGTGCTTCGTCCTGAGCTGGGGCTGGAAGCTTCTGCCTGCCCCGCATACCCTGCCCTGCTCATCTCTGCCTCCTCCTGGACACTGCCAGGCGACAGCCTGGATGCTCAGACCCTCACCACCAGGTCCCTGTGGAGCAGCCTCTCCCTGCAAAGGCAGCTGTGAAAGCAAACGGCATTTGTGAGCACGGGTCGCAGTTTTACCTCTAATTTGCAGGAAGGGAGAAAAGAAAGCCATGAAAGAAAAGAGATGCAAGTCTGCAGTCACTCCTGCAGCAGAACTTCTGCTAGGACGGAAACGCTCTTGGGCCATTCACTATGGCAGTGACTGGCCTCAGACCCACAGAACGGGGTCTACTCTGGCTCTCAGTGGCCTCTCGCTGACAGGCCCCAGTGAGTGACAGTCACCCGGCTCCCTCTGATGACCTCCTCCCATCCCAATCACCCCAAAGGCCTCACACGCCCCGAGACACCCCAGTGAAGCTTCCTCCCTCTCAACACCGCATGGGGAGAACTGAGCTCCAGAATTTTTTTGGAGGGGACAGAGCACGTTGAAAGCATAGTGGCAATGTTACCTGAGGTTCCTGGAGTCACCCGTAGCCCTCAAAATGTAGGACTGAGAGGCTTAAATTCTCATTTAATCATAATCAATTAACATTTACATTTTAAAATGATTAACTTTTCAAGTATACCTACATACTATTTTCCATTGCCTTAGCCCGGAGGAGAGGGAAATTCTGGGAAGATGGTAAGAGAGGGACCTAGAGAAAGAGCTCACACCAAAAGCTCACCCCAAGAGCCCCAGGGATGGGCACTGGGGGGGGGCAGGAGTTTCCCAGCAGCCCCATGGCGCTGACCCCTCCCAAGGCATCGATTTGGGGGCCTCTCCCAGTATCACACCCTCTGCCCTGCTTTTACGAAGATGGGGGGCCCGGGGGCAATGAGTGTGTCTGCTTTAATTTTTTTTTTAAAAAACAAAAAGCTGCTTGTTGGATTTTTCTGGTTCCTAAATTGGCATGCAAGCTTCCCCAACGCAGAGAAAAACCTCAAGGTAGCGAAGAGGAAAGTTGAAAACCACCGGAAACCCCGTCCCCACCCTGGCACCTGGGCCCTGTGGGCCGTCGAAAAATGAATGTCTTTTTTGAAGCAGTACTCCCTTGACATCCTGTTGATAAGCCTTTGTGACATTATTTTCCCACGAAAGTTAATTAAAAACCCAAAGAGCAAAAAACAAAAACAAAACATAACAAAAAACCCAGCAAGTTTTTGTGTCTTAGAGGCAAGGAGGCCCGACCTCACCTCCCCGGAAAGGTGAAGGGGTGGGTGACGCCTGGGACTTGCTGCGCTGCCCTGGCCCCCCGCAGCCCTGTCCCTCACTTCTGCGCTGTGCGACATGGGCGAGGGTCTCGACCTCTCTGGGCCTCATCTTCCTTCCGGAGTTGGAGCGGGCGGCCAGGCCGCACCCAGCTGCCCTCCTGAGGGGCCCCTCACCACCGGCCTCTTCCTCTGACCGGCACCAGGCCCCTTTCTGGACAAGGACGGGAAGGGGTGAGCTCCTCGGTCGCTGCTGCCCCCTGGTGGCCGGAGTTGGCCCAGCGCCTGGCTCCGTCCTGGGCCAGGATCCAGGCCGCAGAAGCAGGCGGGCACCGGCCCCACCTCTCCTCCCTCCGCAGCCCGATGGGTGGGGTCCCCTGGGTGCTGGGTGGCCCGGACTGCTGCACCCCACCTCGCCTGTACAATGGTAACATCGGTGCCCGTCTCAAGCTTCAGACGCTGCTGTCTGCGAGCCCTGAGAGCGGAGCCCCCTGGACGCACCCGCGGACCGGTAGGCCGTGGGTCTCACCTGCATTCGCTTACTGTAACAAGGACCGG